TGAGCCCAGGAATTTGAGGTTGCTGTGAGCTAGGCTGATGCCACGGCACTCTAGCCAGGGCAAAAAAAAAAAAAAAAAGAAAAAGAAATGCAGGGAAAGGCCAGAATAGTTTTGATCCAGGTATTAGCTACTTCTGCACCCTGTCCAAGTGTAAGTCTGGGCAAAGCTTCCACTCTTTGCTCTGGAGTAATGATAGGTATCTCTAGGCCCAGCAATCAAGAGGGCCAAGTACTGAGTGAACTCTGCTGCTGGGCAGACTAGATTTAAATCCTGTCTACCAAAGATTCTGCCCTCAGAAAGGGTAGAGAATAGATGATGAGTGTTGGTCAAGACTGCTGCACTGCCTGTGAAAGCCATGTGGTTGGGTTTGGAGAAAAGGAGGCAGGGGGGTGGTTTTCTGGTTTTTTGCAGGGGAGTTGAGGAGGTAAAGCAGAGGAAAGCTGTCAGCCTCTGTGCAAACACCTTGCTCTGCTCTATGGGAGGAGACAGGCAAGAGAGAAGGAAAAGAACTACCCTCACTGAACACTCAGTATATGCACTTTACACATTACCTATTCTGGTCTTCAGAACTGGGTAAGGAAGGTGTCATTATTCCCATTTTTCTAGACAAGGAGACTGAGACTCTCTGAGTAACTTCTCAAGGTTGCACAGCTAGTGAGTGGTGGAGCCAGGAATGAATCTGGCTCTGTGTGGATCCAAAGCCCATGTTCTTCTACTGTCTTAAAAAAAAAAATAAAGCTTATCTAGTTAAGATTTTATTTGCTGTTTATACTAAACAATCCCCCTTGTTAGGGGCACACACATGGCATCTTAACTCTTTCTCTTCTCCTCTCCATGGCTGCCTCCTCTTGGAAGCAACAGGTTGAGACAAAAAGGAGAGAAAGACAAGAGCAGAGTGAGTGTGGAAGTGAGCAATGCCTTAGGCAAGAATTTCAGAGAGAGAGGAAAGAAAAAATTTACTTTTTCTAAAATTGGCTCTGAGTAAGGAAAAGTGGGTAGATCAAACAATTAGAAAAGTGAAAGGCAAAAATGTTTAGAAGGCTCTGATGTGGAAATCATTGTATGCAAATTTTAAGCAAACTTGATGGTGTCCTGACAGACTGCTGCACTGCCTGTGAAAGCCTTTGCTGTGTGGTCGGGTTTGGAGAAAAGGAGAGGGGGGTTTTGTTTTCTGGTTTTTGGAGGGGAGTTGAGGAGGAGAAAGCCAGTCTGTCCCCCATCAGGCCTCCACCCTCCGTGATGATGTTCCCTCTGTAACCACTAGGGAGCAGTAGTGTTTCTTTTCCTCTCCTGGTGGGCCAGAGGTGGGAGGGGGCTGTACCAAGGGGAATCCTGGTCTTGTTTTCCCCTGGAACCCCTTGTAGTTATACTGGTCAGTACCATCCAGCCTGAAACCACACCCTGGCTACTCTTCAGTGAGGGGCAGATTCCTCAGACTTCATGTTTTTGGTCCTTCCTTTGCCCTTGTCCGTTTGGCTCTGGTAATTTTCGGGTTCTGAAGTCTAACTGTCTCCCCTGTCTTGCTTGGTCTCAGAGCCTGCCTTTTCAGCTTTCCACTTCTTTTTCTGCAACTTCACACCCAAGCCTTCCTGTTGTCTTATAACCTCTCCCCATCTCTGTAGCTTTCTGGGTCCTAGAGTATGTCTTGCAGCCTCTTGGCTCCCTGGTGTCTTCCGTTTCTAAGTACTGTATAACTGCCCACCTCCCATGGAGGAATATTTGCAGTTCAGTAGTTAAGACTCTATATTTTGTGTGTCTGTGGGGCAATGACTCCCTAGGTGAGTTTTGAAGGTAGCACTTCCATCCTTCCCTTCTCATCCTGAGGAATGACCAGAGACCCAGGTCTGGAAGGAGAAAGAGGGCAATACCAAAAGGAGAAAAAAAATCTCTTCTGTTTCTCTACAGCTTTCTCTCCATCTTCCCCTTCCTCCCACCCTCCCTCTAGTGAGGCAAGGACTCATTAGGGAGGGAGGGAGGAATGAAGGGACAGCAGGGAGCTTTGGAGACTGAGGGCCATTTTGGAGCTGGAAGACTCATCTCAGGGGATGACTACAGCCTCAAAACTCTCCACCCTCCCTTGGCTCCAGGCCTCCCTCCTCCCATCCCCCTCAGTGGCAGCAGCCTTGTAATTTAAAGCTCTCTCTGTCGCCTCTAATGTGATCCTCTCGTTTTATTGACTCTCTCTGCCGTCTGTGGCGCCCCTTCACATCAATCTCCTCTCTAATCACACCACCGCCACTGCCTGCTGTCTCCCCTAACCCCTCTCCTCCACAGAGGCCCCTGGCCCTCACCTCTACCCAGGTCTTTCCTTTTGACTGTCTCCCACCTCCACTCCATACCAGATCCACCCTCTTCCTCCTTCCCTCCTCCAGAAGCAAGAATGTCAGGGCCTTTGAGGGGTCGCCTTGCCCCTTAACCCACATCTGAGATATGTCCCAAGGGCGATGCCCTTAAGGAAAGCAGGGAACTAAAAGGAGGAATGGCAACGGGCCTTAGGATGAACAAGAATCTTGAGCTGGGGGAGGCACGTGGGGGATGATTTTTAGGCCTGTTGTATGTTTCCGCAACATCTCTAGTTCTAGATGGGAAGGGCAAAGAAAGGGACCTAGAGATTCTGAGAGGGAAGGAAGTTAAGATGGAGGAGGGACATGGAAGGAGGAAAAAAGCGAAAAACTAATTGCTGCAGCTAAAGGTTTGTAATAAATAGTGGGTGATGGGAGAAGCACTGAGAAGAAAGGGGGAGGGGGAATTTGGTGGCAGTGGATGGGGGGCTGGAAATGCACTGAGGCAGAGATAAATTTGCAATTGAAATTCTTTCCTGAAGAGGAGGAGGGTTAGGTTGGGTGGTGGGGAAGAGATTTGCAATTTTAAACAGCTGCCGACCTACCCTCGGCCAAGCAGAGTCTCACCCACAAGCTAGCCAAAAGCGAAGCTCCTTTGGTTTCTAGCTAGGAATCAGCTGTGTCTTTTTCCAGTCTTGGGAAGCAGATGCTTTGGAGAGAGAATCTGGGAGTTACTGCAGGATGTGGGGCTTAGGTCTGCCTAGCCCTGCTCTGAACTGTGATCTAGAGTTGCAGGCCAGGAGCCAGGAAGGAGCTGGTCGAAGCAGGCAGGTGGCCTCTACCGCTTATGCCAGCTGGGAGAGAGCACCAGCCAGTGTTCAGTGCTCAGCCAGGGCCCAGAATAGGCCTCTCTTGCCTGGATTCATTCCTTCCCACCAGGTGGGGCCCACCCTGTGGGAATGACAGTGAAATGTCAGACCCACACAAACCAGCACACTTACCTCCTCTCCCTCACCAAAGATTCTGGTGGAGGAATACCTTTCTCCCACAATATTAGGGCTTCTGCTTTCTGGTTATCTAGGAACCAACCCCCCGACCCCAGTCCAATTCCTTCACTTCCCGTTTGGTTCTCTAACTCCCCCCACCTCTCCATCACCTCCACTCCTTTTCCAGGTGCTTATTTGCATTTTCATTAGCATGCTAATCCAGCCCCAATCGGAGCTCCTTAATAGCTCTGACTTCATGCCTGGCTAGACCCCCTGGAGGAGGAGGGAAGCGGGAATAGGGCCTTACAGGCTGTGTGGGGCCAGACTAAGGACCCACTTCAGACCTAGGAATCTGGGGGTGAGGGTTAAAGGTGGCTCAAGGAAAGAGAGACAACACCCCTCACCCCTTCTCTGAAGCACTCTGGCCTAAGCACTAGAAGTTTAATCATTAGAGATCTGCTGATATGGACAGCTGGAGAGTATGTAGATGGGCCACTTGGGACCTTGGGAGGAGTACGGAATGGGGAGGCATGGGAATGTGGTGAGTTAGAGGGGAGGATCCTGGTAAACAAAAGGATGACAGCCTTGGTGCTTCTAGTCAGCTGGAGGCTGCCTGGGAGTCCTGATTTCTAGACCTTTGGAAGCTCATTTGGCCTTTATTGTGTCTGAGGGACAGTCCAGCTGGTTGGAGGAGTCTAGGCCACAGCTTTGCAATTTACTTAGCGCTTGGCCAGTCCTTCTCTAGTTTCCCCTCTTTGGAGCTGTGTCACCATCAGTAGCTTACTTAACCTGTTTCTTGGCTGCCTTATCTATAAAATACGATTGCCGTGAGATTAAGTGAGATGATTGATGTAAAGCATTTAGCATAGTGCCAGGACCATGGTAGATGTACCTTAATAGCTATTAGTAATGTAATTACTATTACTTATTTTATTTTTTTTATCTCTTTGGGGAGGAGGAGGCAACATATAAGCTGTTGTCTTTCAACTGGCCAGGGAAGCTCCCATCTATTTCACAGGCTTGTGACCCCAGATGGATCTGGAAGGCATCTGAGAGCAGCATGGCACCTCATGCCAGGGGGAATCAGTTATGGCCTATCTCTGGCAAAAAGACCTTGATTAGGGAATTTACCTCTTCAGGGAACAGAAAATCTGAGGGTCTTTCCCAGTGTTCTGTCATTCAAAAGACATCTATTAACTGTGAGACAGGCAAGTTCTATGTGCTAACAACAGAGCAATCAAACAGACCTGAGCCCCCATTCTGGCTGCTGGTGGAGGGAAAACAGATTGTAGGGGGCAGCAGTGGAAGACGGGAGGCCAATGTGGAGTGGATTGCGTTAGTTCAGGAAAGAGATGATAATGGCTTGGGCCATGCTGGTGCCAGTGAAGAAGAAAAGTGGAGGGATTTGATACATTTTAGAGGTTGCTGCTGAACTGGATAAGGGGAGGACAAGAGAAAACTTTTAGGTTTTCAGCCTAAGCAACTGGATAAATGGTACCAACGTTTGAGGTAGGAAAGATAGAAAGGAGCAGGTCCAGAGGACAAATAAAGAGTTCTGATTTTGGACATGTTAAGTGTTGAAGCCTATTAGACACTAAGTGAAGCTTCTGGTTGGCAAATGGGTGAGTCTGATGTTCATGGAACAGTATGGGACTGCAGTATCCAGAGATTCAGCTGCCTGGCAGGAGTCCCTGCAGCCTCACAGCACTGCTTTCTTGGTGTTTCCCTGCAGGGTACTGGCCGTCACGCTGAAATGAACCCCCAGCACTCCTCCGTCTACCATGGCCACCCTTAACTTAGCCTCCACCGCTGGCGACACCCTCTCCCCTGGGCACAATGCCCCGTCCCCGCCTCCTGATACCTCCTCCTCCAGCACCCCCTCTGATCCTGTCACCAAAGATCCCCCTGCTGCCCCCTCCCCTTCTGAGAGCATGAGGCCCTCAGAGCCAGGGGGACAGCCCCTGGAGTCGGGCTGTGGCCTTGTCCCACCAAAGGAGATTGGGGAGCCCCAAGAAGGGCCTAGTTGTGGTCGCTTCCCACCAAAGGACCTGGGGGTAGAGAAGGACAAGGAGCAGGAGGAGGAAGGACTCCCTCCCGTGGACCTAAGCAACCACCTATTCTTCACAGCTGGCGGTGAGGTCTACCTAGTGGCCAAGCTGTCTCTGCCAGGTGGCAGTGAACTCCTGCTACCAAAGGGCTTCCCGTGGGGCAAGGCAGGCATCAAGGAAGAGCCCAGCCTGCCCCTCCTTACCCACCCACCCCCAACACACCTCACTGCCCTTCATATCCAACATGGCTTTGACCTAATCCAAGGCTTTAGCTCTTCTGACCAAATTCTGTCCCACGATACCTCAGCGCCATCTCCGGCTGCCTGTGAGGGAAGGGATGGAGCCTTCTGGAGCTACCAGCTGGCTGCAAACCCACCCAGAGATCCCAAAGATGGCCCCATGGGGAACAGTGGGGGAGACCACATGGCACTCTTCTGGCTCTGTCTTCTGTGCCGCCTGGGTTTTAGCAGGCCCCAGGCCTTTATGGGTCACACACAGTCTCATGGGGTGAAACTAACCCCTGCCCAACACCAGGGCCTGCCAGGCAGCCCAGCCGTGCTCCAGGAAGGGGATGAGGGCTGCATGGCCCTCATAAGCTTTCTGGAACCAAAACACCCTGCTCACCACCCTTTTGAAATATCCCTTGACAATGGTAGCACACTGACCACAGAGGCGAATGTAGCCCAGACGGAGGATGGCCCCCCTGAGGCAGAAGTCCACACCCTTGTCCTTCCTGCTGAAGAAGTCATGGCCCTCAACCCATTCTCCCCATCCACCACCCCAACCACTTGGGACCCCAGCCCAACCCAAGCCAAAGAATCACCAGTAGCAGCAGGTGAGGCAGGGCCAGATTGGTTCCCCGAAGGGCAAGAAGAGTATGGAGGGCTCTGCCCCCCACTCAACCAAAGCTCACCCACCTCCAAGGAAGGGGGCAGTCTCCCCACCCCAGCGGGCTCCCCTGAAGACCCTAATGACCCACCCCAGCCCTATCGCCTGGCTGATGACTACACCTCAGCCCCTACAGCCTTCCAAGGGCTTAGCCTGTCCAGCCACATGTCCCTGCTACATTCTCGCAACTCTTGCAAGACGCTCAAGTGTCCCAAGTGCAACTGGCACTACAAGTACCAGCAGACCTTAGATGTGCACATGCGAGAGAAACACCCTGAGAGCAATAGTCACTGCAGCTACTGTAGTGCTGGGGGGGCCCACCCCCGCCTCGCTCGTGGAGAAAGCTACAACTGTGGCTACAAGCCCTACCGCTGCGACGTCTGCAACTACTCCACCACCACCAAGGGAAACCTCAGCATCCACATGCAGTCCGATAAGCACCTGGCCAACCTGCAGGGCTTCCAGGCAGGCCCCGGTGGGCAGGGAAGTCCCCCAGAGGCATCACTCCCGCCCTCCGCAGGGGACAAAGAGCCCAAGACCAAATCATCCTGGCAGTGCAAGGTGTGCAGCTATGAGACAAACATCTCCCGCAACCTACGCATCCATATGACCTCTGAGAAGCACATGCAGAATGTCCTAATGCTGCATCAGGGGCTGCCACTGGGCCTGCCACCTGGGCTGGTGGGGCCAGGCCCTCCTCCACCACCAGGGACTGCCCCCACCAACCCCCCTGAACTCTTCCAGTACTTTGGTCCTCAGGCCCTAGGGCAGCCTCAGACTCCCTTGTCTGGCTCCGGGCTGAGGCCAGACAAGCCTTTGGAAGCCCAGCTGCTTCTCAATGGTTTCCACCACCTTGGAGCACCTGCCCGCAAATTCCCCACACCTGGTAAGCTCCCTGAACTCTGCTCCTCTTCCCACTTCTCTCTTCCCCAGGACCATACTCTATTCCCTGCTTTCTCCCAAAGGCCAACTCCCTACTTAGATAACCATAAGTCCCCTCTGAGCACTGTCCCACTCATTAACTCACCCCTCCATATAGCAAACTGACCCTGCCCCATTTCTTCCTTGGGCCACTAATCTGTTTCTGTCCCCCAGCCCCTGGCAGCCTCTCCTCTGATGCCCACCTGCCTCCAAGTCAGCTCCTGGGCTCCTCATCTGATGGCATGCCCACCTCACCACCCCCAGATGACAGCCCATCCCTGAGGGTATTCCGCTGCCTAGTGTGCCAGGCCTTCAGCACAGACAGCCTGGAGCTACTGCTGTACCACTGCAGTGTAGGCCGAAGCCTCCCGGAAGCTGAATGGAAGGAGGTGGCCGGTGACACCCACCGCTGCAAGCTCTGCTGCTACGGCACCCAGCTCAAGGCCAACTTCCAACTCCACCTCAAGACTGATAAACATGCTCAGAAGTACCAGCTGGCAGCCCACCTGCGAGAGGGTGGTGGGGCCATGGGCACCCCGTCCCCGGTGCCCCTGGGAGATGGGGCCCCTTATGGGTCTGCCTCCCCACTGCACCTGCGCTGCAACATCTGTGACTTTGAGTCCAACAGCAAGGAGAAGATGCAGCTGCATGCAAGGGGTGCAGCCCATGAAGAAAACAGCCAGATCTATAAGGTGAGGCTGGGGTGGATTGGGGCAGGGAAGAGGAGAAGGGGATGGGGATGGAAGGAGGAGATGCAGAGTAGGGAAGTGATGGGAAAACCCAGGGTTACAGAAATGGAGGAAAAGGAAAGTATGCACCAGGGTAACAAAGAGTTTGGGCAGCCATGGAGAAAGAGACCAAAGGATAGAGGACTCTGACGAAATGAAACAAAGACTTTATTCAGCTCTTCTGGTGTTGGGGCTGGAGGGAGGGGTCTCGGTCAGCTCAGTCCATCATGTCACCAGAAGTTCAAGAGGATGGAACCAGATTCCATTCACATACTGGGAGGGAGTCCAGGAGTGGTAGAAGGAAGAGGAGAAGACTGGGGAAAACAAGCAGTAATACTCAGGGGGCCCTAGTGATACTAAGAGGGAAAAGGGGGGCTTGAGGGGGTGGAAGGAGTGGGTAGGGAGGAGGGTGCTGCTAGTCAGGCTCCCTTGGGGGAAGCAAAGAAGTCCCCTGAGATCTGGAGGTGTCCCTTCTGAGCCTGAGCCAGCCTCTTGCCATGGTTCTAGTTTCTGCTGGAAATGGAGGGAGCAGAGGCAGGGGCAGAGCTGGGGCTGTACCACTGCCTGCTGTGTGCTTGGGAGACACCCTCCCGCTTGGCTGTGCTGCAACACCTGCGCACACCTGCCCACCGCGATGCCCAGGCCCAGAGGCGTCTGCAGCTGCTACAGAATGGCCCAGCAGCTGAGGAAGGACTCTCAGCTCTCCAGAACATCCTGAGCTTCAGCCATGGGCAGCTCCGGACTCCCGGTGAGGAAGAGGGGAATGAAGAATAAGGACTGGGCGGGGGGCCAGCAGGGTGCGGGCAGCTGAGGAGAAAGGGATACAGAGAGGGAGAATGGGTCTGTGGGCCATCAATAGCAAGTAGGAAGAAGATATGAAGGGATAAGACAGGCCCAGTGGGGGCTGCTGAGCGAGGAGGGGTAGAGAAGGGCAGGGATTTTGCTGGGTGGAGAACAGAAAACAGGAAGAGAGGTGAGGAGGAATCACCCAGTGATTCTGAGCAGTGACTAGTGTCCTAACAACACTGGATGTGGGGGGTGGCAGACTGGAGCTGGTCAGGAAGGTGAGAGGAGGTAGACAAAAAAGAATGGAACCTGCTTCGTGCTGGGCCAGGGCTTGTTGGAAGGAGATGGGAGCTGTAGGCATAGTCCAAAGGCAGCAGGGATGGGAAAAAGCCTCTGATAAGCTTCCCAGCCTCTTCCTGTCTCCTAGGAGGTCTTCAGCCCTAAGGCTGGGCTTAGAGTCCCCCTTAAGCAGCTAAGGCTGTACCAGCAGAGGCTGGGAACAGCCAGCCAGGCGCCATTTCTCCAGAGGGTGCAGGAGAAGAGCCTGGAAGGGGCTGTCAGAGGTTGGCATGGGTGTCGAGCTCTGGAGAGCCAGCAGTGGGCAAGGGCGAGGCCACGGGCAGCAGGAGCCAGGAATAGGCAGCATTGACTGGTGCTAATTGAATTGCCAATATGCTGGCTGGAGTTAAGTGCTGGAGGGGCCAGATCAATAGCTAACGATCCTGGCGCAGGGCTGAATGGAGTTAAGGAACTTTAACACTTTAATTAGGCTGCCACCGAAAATAAATTCCTACACATCTGTCAATTCTTACTTGAGTGGTAATCTCCTCTCCCAGCTAGACCTGCCACCTCCTGCTCACCGCAGCAGCAGCAGTAGCCGCTTCCATTCAACCTCAGCTTCTTTCTTCAGTGGCCCTCCCACATTTCTGGGGCTTCCCATTTCCCGGGTCAGTCAAGACAGGGAGGAGCCAAGTCTGGTCCTGTTCTGTTGCCTATTGGACTTGCACAAGATGACTCTCAGGCTCTACCAGTTCTAATAGTGTAGCTTTTCCCTTCACCCTCTGTGTGTCTTTTTGGTGGCTTTTCATCCTCTCCTGCCTGTGGATTCACCCATTTTCTCCTTCATTGCCTGGCTGCTTGTCCTGCTTCCTCTGCCCTATGTCCTCCCTTCCCTGATGCTTATCTGTTTAAGCTGACACTCCCCCATCCTACACAGGGAAGGCTCCCGTCACCCCCTTAGCCGAGCCACCCAACCCTGAGAAAGAAGTCCAGAACAAGACAGAACAGTTGGGTGAGTTGCTCATCCAGTCCATTTTCCCTCCCTTCTCCCAAGTCCTCACACATTCTGAGAGGCCCATGGGACCTTGCAGTAATCCAGGAGCCCAGCAATGCCTCCTGTGCTGGAGGAGCAAAACTGACCACAGAAAAGCCTCATTGGGGGGCAGGAGGCTGAGCCACAGAAGGCTGGGTGCTTCCACCCTCTTCAAGGACCTAAACCTGGCCATCCTGCTAACCTGGAGGCAGCCCCTGCCAAGCCTCACCTGTCTACTGAGTTTCCTGCCCTTTCTCCCTTTCCCTAGAGCCCAACCCCCTACCCTGGAAGCTCTGTGCTACAAATCATCTTAAGGGCTGGGGGTCTGTGATGGGAAGAGGGAGGGCTGTCAGAGTCCCTGAATGTCCTCTCCTTTCATCCTCAGCTTCTGAAGAGGCAGAGAACAAGACCAGCCACTCCAGAGACAGTGCCAACCAGACCACGGTCAGAACTGGGGTAACTGGGAAGTGCTGAGGTGGGGTCTGGCTTTACTGAGATCTGCTCATATTCTAAAGGCAGACCGAATTTAGTCATGCTTGTGACTTATTTCACTCAGAATAGCACATTTAGGAAATCCGACCTAGGTCCAGTTACATAGGTTCAGTACCATATGGGGGTAGAGCTGCCCCCAAAGGGTGGAGCACAGAGGGACATGAGAGGAAAAGATGGCAGAAACTTGAGGGAAAGGTGAAGAGAGGAACTATATTGAGGGTAGGAAAGACTGGAGGCAGGTAGAGGAAGGAGGGGAGGCAAGAAGCGAAGAAATGAAAAGAGAAAGGCAAAAGCAACAAACCAGCTGCTGCCCAGCTCTTCACTCCTCAGTTAGGAGCAGAAAGAACTAGACACAAACGTTCATATCCGACAGAAAGCCCTGAGCCTCGACAGAACTGTTCTGGCACCCTCTTCTTGAGGGTGGAGGCACCAACCAAATGATTCACCCTGACAGCATGTCCCACAAATCTTTAAAACCCCAGGACTTGAACCTAAGCAGGATCCAGAAGTAGTTTAGCTCTGTGGCCTGAAAGTGTTGATTCTGAGGGAATTCCCAGCCTCTGGTCTTGAGGTGCCATCCTGTGCCTCACAGCTCTCCAGACTAGATTGCAATATGCAAACTACAGCCATGCTTTATGTCCCCAGCTTCTCTTCTTCCTAACTCCTGTTCCCTCCGACAGACCTATTCCAGATGTCTGTGCCAAGGGCTGGGTGCATTAAAATGAGCACCTGGGTCCCCTTCCTTTGTGGCCATCCCCTCCCCAACACACAGGCTTGGACCAATGGCACAGGCAACAGGATAGGAAGTAAGCTAGGGAGACGAGCCTGATCTGAGGCAGCAGGAAAAATGCAGGCTGGACAGGTCAGGCAGTCAGGTGACAGCAGGCCTTTGCAGCCCCACCCCTCGGGAGGTGTGGGTGAGAATGCGCAGAGAATGTGCTGAGAGGGCCAGGCCAGAGTTTTCCTGGGCCACTGGGGGAGCTGTGGTGTTTGTTTATATTGAGGAGAAGAAAGGGTGGAAAAGAAAGTGGGAGCTGCGGAGCCCAAGGGGGCATGGGCTGGCTTCTGAGCAGATAGGCGGCGCCCCTCTTCAGGAGACAGTTAGAGAGGCAGAGTGTGCAGGGACGAGGGAGCCTCTGGGTCCAGAAAGTGCCCAGAAGAAATGGAGCCATTTCACAGAGAAGACACAGGCAAGGTGGGGGTGGGTAAGAAAAGTAAACTAAACCCAAGAGGGGGGCAGGTACAGGGCCATCTGTCAGCTGTAGAAAATTGAGTAGGGCAGCAGAGACTGGGAAAGACACACCAAGAAAAGGTAGAGAGAGGCCAGCATGGAGGGAGAAGGGCAGACAAGAAGGGAATGCGAGGTAGTGGCCTAGGCTAGGACTTTGTGCCAATCCAAGGGAAACAAGGGAGAAGCCAGCTTTCAGGACTTGAAGCTGGACGCTGGGTCTGCTGTGATGGTTTTCTATCCAGCTTGCTCCTCTTAAATTGGGAGTGGAGGCCAGTGCTGCATTGAGGAATCCAAACCCTTCCCTAACACCTCCTCCACTGTACGTATGTGCCCACAGGTATACTGCTGTCCATACTGCAGCTTCCTGAGCCCGGAATCTGACCAGGTGAGGGCTCATACACTCTCCCAGCATGCAGTGCAGCCCAAGTACAGGTGCCCACTGTGCCAGGAGCAGCTGGTGGGCCGGCCTGCCCTGCACTTCCACCTTAGCCACCTTCACAATGTGGTGCCTGAGTGCGTTGAGAAGCTGCTGCTTGTGGTGAGTACAGGCTGGGTGAGGAGGGTCCAGTGTGGCCCTGTCAGGGCTGTATAGGAGGGGAGGACGAGGCAGGGGTCTCCAGGCAGGTATATGTGTGTGGGGTGCTTGCTGATGAAGAAAGTAGCATTTCATAGATTTGAGACTGCATTTTAGAGTTGGAGGGGTCCTTAGAACTGAGCTTGTCTAGCTGCCTATACTCACGGATGAGGAAACTAAACGTTTTTTTCACTTCCATTAAGTCCTGAGAAGAGTTGTTGAACGACGGGCACAGGCCTGCCAGGACCAGGTGCCACAAGGAAAGCTGACTTTTGGCCTAGGGAAAGAGGGAGCCAGAGAGGAGAGGCAGTAGCCCAGACTCTCTCGTCTGTGGGAAAAGCAGCAATTAGGTGGGAGGTTTGTCCAGAGAGAAGGCTGATCTGTGGAAGGGAGCTCAGCACAGGTGCAGCGCAGAGGAGTCGGGGTAGCACAGGTGGTGGGGAAGCCACCAGGATCTCTCCCATCACAGGCCACAACTGTAGAGATGACCTTTACGACCAAAGTGCTGCCTGGACCCACACTTAGCCCTCTGGAAGATGGCCCAGAAGCCCCCACTCCTGGGCCAGAGCCTATACCCAGCAGAGACCAGGTATCAGGTAAGGAAGGGGACAGCAAACCTCCCAAGGTGGCAGAAAAGGAGACCTGGGCTCCATGGACCAAGAAGGTCTGAAGACAACTGAGGCCAGGGTCAATTGCCCTGGATATTGAGTGGGTGGGGTCTGCTCACTGTACCCTCTTCTCTCTCCTCTAGAAGGCCCTAACCTGACTCCAGAGGCCAGTCCAGATCCTCTTCCTGAGCCTCCCCTGGCCTCAGCAGAGGCCCCAGACAAGCCCTCAGGAAGCCCTGGTCAACCCCCTTCTCCAGCCCCATCTCCAGTCCCTCAGCCTGATGCCCAAGCTGAAGAGGTGGCTCCTCCACCCACCATGGCTGAGGAGGAAGAGGGGACTGCTGGGGAGCCCCGCTCTGCCGAGCCAGCTCCAGCTGACTCTCGCCACCCTCTGACCTATCGAAAGACCACCAACTTTGCCCTGGACAAGTTTCTCGACCCTGCCCGGCCTTATAAGTGCACTGTGTGTAAGGAGTCCTTCACCCAGAAGAATATCCTCTTGGTTCATTATAATTCTGTCTCCCACCTTCATAAGATGAAGAAGGCTGCCATTGACCCCTCTGCCCCTGCCCGAGGGGAGGCTGGTGCCCCGCCTACCACCACTGCTGCCACTGACAAGCCCTTTAAGTGCACGGTCTGCCGAGTCTCCTACAACCAGAGCTCCACCCTGGAGATCCACATGCGCTCGGTTCTACATCAGACTCGCTCTCGAGGGACCAAGACTGATGCCAAGATTGAGGGGCCAGAGCGCAGCCAAGAAGAGCCCAAGGAAGGCGAGACTGAGGGGGAGGTGGGTGCTGAGAAGAAGGGCCCCGACCCCAGTGGCTTCATATCTGGATTGCCCTTCCTGTCCCCTCCGCCCCCTCCCTTGGACCTGCACCGGTTCCCGGCCCCCCTCTTCACCCCACCAGTCCTGCCTCCCTTCCCTCTGGTGCCCGAATCACTGCTTAAGCTCCAGCAGCAGCAGCTGCTTCTGCCCTTCTACCTCCATGACCTCAAGGTGGGGCCCAAGCTGGCGCTGGCTGGGCCTGCACCCATGCTGTCGCTGCCGGCTGCCACCCCTCCTCCCCCGCCCCCACCCCCCAAGGCTGAGCTGGCTGAGCAGGAGTGGGAGCAGCCCCCCATGGCCAAAGAGGGGAATGAGGCAGGGCCCTCCTCACCCCCCCACCCATTGCCCAATGAGGCTGCCCGCACTGCAGCCAAAGCCCTTCTAGAAAACTTTGGCTTTGAGCTGGTGATCCAGTACAATGAAGGGAAGCAGGCTGTGCCTCCTCCCCCAACCCCACCCCCACCCGAGGCCCTGGGAGGTGGGGACAAGCTGGCCTGTGGGGCCTGTGGAAAACTCTTCTCCAATATGCTTATCCTCAAGACACACGAGGAGCACGTCCACCGCCGCTTTCTGCCCTTTGAGGCCCTGAGCCGTTACGCTGCTCAGTTTCGTAAAAGCTATGATAGCTTGTACCCACCCCCTGCAGAGCCCCCCAAACCTCCTGATGGGTCTGTGGATTCATCTGCTCCTCAGCTGGGTCCACCCTTCCTGGTCCCAGAGCCTGAGGCAGGGGGGACCCGTGCTCCTGACGAACGAAGCCGGGCAGGAGGACGCTGGCCAGCAGAGGAGGAAGAAGGCTCCAGAGGGAATCTTCCTCCCCTAGTGCCTGCAGGCCGACGGTTCTCCAGAACCAAGTTCACAGAGTTCCAGACCCAAGCCCTGCAGTCTTTCTTTGAGACCAGTGCCTACCCCAAGGACGGGGAGGTGGAGCGGCTCGCAAGTCTCTTGGGTCTGGCTAGCCGTGTGGTGGTAGTGTGGTTCCAGAACGCCCGCCAGAAAGCGCGCAAAAATGCCTGTGATGGTGGCCCTGTGCCCATAGTAGGCAGTACTGGGGGAGCCTCAGGCTGCAGGCGTTGCCACGCCACTTTCTCCTGTGTTTTTGAGTTGGTGCGGCACCTCAAGAAATGCTATGATGACCAGACCCCTGAAGAGGAGGAGGAAGAGGCAGAGAGAGGGGAAGAGGAGGAAGAGGTAGAGGAAGAAGTAGAGGAGGAACAGGGCCTCGAACCCCCAGCAGGGCCTGAGGGTCCATCACCAGAACCTCTAGATGGGGAGGAGCTAAGCCAAGCAGAGGCAACGAAGCCAGGAGGCAAAGAGCCTGAAGAGAAGCCTCCTCCCTCACCTCCTCCAGCCCACACCTGTGACCAGTGTGCCATCTCTTTCCCCAGCCAAGACCTCCTGACCAATCACCGCCGACTACATTTCCTGCCATCTGTGCAGCCCAGCGCTCCCCCCCAACTCCTAGATCTGCCCTTGCTGGTGTTTGGGGAGCGAAATCCCCTGGTGGCAGGCACCCTACCAGTGCCAGGGCCACCTCTCAAACGGAAGCATGAGGATGGCAGCTTGTCCCCCACAGGCAGTGAAGCAGGGGGAGGAGGGGAGGGCGAGCCCCCCAGGGACAAGCGACTGCGCACCACCATCCTGCCCGAGCAGCTAGAGATCCTATACCGTTGGTACATGCAGGACTCCAACCCAACACGCAAGATGCTCGACTGCATCTCTGAGGAGGTGGGGCTCAAAAAGCGAGTGGTACAGGTCTGGTTCCAGAACACCAGGGCCCGGGAGAGGAAAGGCCAGTTTCGAAGCACCCCCGGGGGGGTGTCCAGTCCGGCAGTCAAACCCCCTGTCACACCCACCCCTGCATCCTTCCCCAAGTTCAACCTCTTATTGGGCAAGGTAGATGATGGGATGGGGAGGGAGGCCCTAAAGAGGGAAGCACCTGCATTTCCCTACCCCACAGTCACCTCTGCTGCTGGGCCCCTGCCTTTCCTACCACCTGGGAAAGAGGCCACCACCCCAACACCAGAGCCACCTCTACCTCTCCTACCTCCCCCTCCACCCAGTGAGGACGAGGGCCCAGAGGAACCATCTAAAGCTTCTCCAGAGAGTGAGGCTTGCAGTCCGTCTGCAGGAGATCTGAGTGATTCATCTGCTTCCAGCCTAGCGGAACCAGAATCCCCTGGGGCTGGAGGAACCAGTGGGGGACCAGGAGGTGGGACTGGGGTTCCAGATGGAATGGGGCAGCGGCGCTACAGGACCCAGATGAGCAGCCTGCAGCTGAAGATCATGAAAGCCTGCTATGAAGCCTACCGCACCCCCACCATGCAGGAGTGTGAGGTGCTGGGGGAGGAGATTGGGTTGCCCAAGAGGGTCATCCAGGTCTGGTTCCAGAATGCTCGTGCCAAGGAAAAGAAGGCCAAACTGCAGGGGGCAGCTGTTGGGGGAACTGGGGGCAGCAGTGAGGGCCCCTTGGCAGCCCAGCGCACCGACTGCCCCTATTGTGATGTCAAGTATGATTTCTATGTCTCCTGCCGAGGCCATCTCTTTTCCCGCCAGCACCTGGCCAAGCTCAAGGAGGCGGTCCGGGCCCAGCTGAAGAGTGAAAACAAGTGCTACGACTTGGCTCCAGCACCTGAGGCACCCCCGGCTCCCAAGGCCCCACCTGCGACTACACCTGCCTCTGTGCCCCTCGGGTCTGCCCCAGCCCTGCCTCGCCTGGCCCCAGTCCTCTTGTCTGGCCCAGCTCTGGCCCAGCCCCCACTGAGCAGCTTAGCTCCTTTCAATTCTGGTGAGTGGGGAGGATAGAGGAGTTGTACTTCAGAGAATGTCTCCGTCTAATGACATTTGCTTCCTTTTCCTTCTTGACTCTTCCTATGTCCAGTCTCCTGTGGCCTTCCTTTGCTTCAGGCTCTTGGGGGAAGGGAGGGAGGGAAGGAGCATAGCAGCTGGGTGGTTGTCTATAGCAGGAAGGACGATGGGGCAGGAGGTGCTAACCCTTTCTCACTCCTTTCATCTTCCTAGGCCCTGCAGCCTCCTCAGGCCTCCTTGGCCTTGCCACTTCGGTCCTGCCTACTACCACGGTGGTCCAGACTGCTGGCCCAGGCCGCCCCTTACCTCAGAGACCTGTGCCCGACCAAACCAACACCTCCACTGCAGGCACCAATGACCCTGTCCTGGGCACCCCTACTGAGCCCTCAGGAGACACGGTCTCTGGTGAGCGAAAGCCAGTTGCAGCCCCCACCAACTCCTCCAGTGATGCCCTCAAGAACCTCAAAGCATTGAAGGCCACTGTCCCAGCCCTGTTGGGGGGCCAATTCCTACCCTTCCCATTGCCCCCTGCAGGGGGGGCAGCACCGCCAGCTGTCTTTGGCCCCCAGTTACAGGGGGCCTACTTCCAACAGCTCTATGGCATGAAGAAGGGGCTCTTTCCCATGAACCCTGTGATACCTCAGACCCTCATTGGGCTGCTCCCCAATGCCCTCCTCCAGCCACCACCCCAGCCCCCTGAACCCACAGCCACAGCGCCTCCAAAGCCTCCTGAATTGCCTGCTCCAGGGGAGGGGGAGGCTGGTGAGGCCGATGAGCTGCTGACAGGCAGCACTGGCATCTCCACCGTGGATGTGACCCACCGCTACCTGTGCCGCCAGTGCAAGATGGCATTTGATGGGGAGGCCCCGGCTACTGCCCACCAGAGATCCTTCTGCTTCTTTGGGCGGGGCTCTGGGGGCTCCATTCCCCCTCCACTGCGGGTGCCCATCTGCACCTACCACTGCCTGGCATGTGAGGTGCTGCTGAGTGGGCGTGAAGCCCTGGCCTCCCACCTGCGCTCCTCGGCCCACAGGCGCAAGGCAGCCCCGCCCCCAGGGGGCCCACCCATCACCGTCACCAACACTGCCACTGCTGCCACGGCTGCTGTGGCTTTTGCCAAAGAGGAAGCAAGATTACCTCACACGGACACCAACCCAAAAACTACTACTACCTCTACACTTCTAGCTTTATAAACAGATAAACCAAGATGGGGAGAGGGGAGGGCCTTAGGGCTCCCTCTTTTACCCCAAGGGGTATTTGGTGGGAGCTCAAATCCCTCACCCCAACCCTCAGCTCTGCCCACCTCCTGGGAATCTTTCGGTTCCCACCCTCAGTGGGCTTCACACACCCCACCTCCAGCAGAGTCCTGCCTCCTCCCCCACCCCTACAGACACACTCTGATCCTCATCCTCAACCCCTTGCAGATGTAGCCCTTGCCCCTATGTCTTCACAGACACACACGCCCATCTTGGCATCCTGATTATTCACACGTCTGCGCGCTGCACACAAAATCTATCCTTGGCTCTACCTGCATTTTCCTCACTGAATTCCACCCCCCGCCAATAAATACACATACACATGCACACACACACACACACGTTATCCCATGATGTTCCACTGACTGAGAAAACACCAAAAAAAAAAAGAAGAAGAAGAAAGGAAAAAGAAAACCCAAGGCAAAGATGGGGGAAGAAAAATAAACTGCCACTCCCCCTTGTGCTACCCCCTGTATAGAGCGCCATGCCGCTCACAAACTCTTTCCAAATACCCAGCTGGCTCCCAAGGTTGGAGCCCAGGTGGACAGGGAGCCCACAAAACTCTAACCAAACTGGAGGTTGGCAGGGGAGAAGTGCTCCCAGCTCACTCTCCCCACTCTCCCTCCTAACCCTCTCCTCGCCTGAAGGGGGAGCCCCTGCGGCCTGGACTCTGGGGGAAGCCGCCGCCAGGAACCCCTCTGCCAACCCCTGCCCTGCACCCTGGGAACTGCAGTAACTTATTCTCAAAGGCTTTAAACACAGAGATCCTCTCAGCAGCCGTGGGCCCGCCCCTTGTCCTAGCCAGGCCACGTGGGGGTCCAGCCTCCAGGGACCGGCGCTGCCCACCAACGGCAAATCCAAAGTTCTTTTAAAAAAACTGAAACACACACACAACCAAAAAAAAAACGAGAGCGAGAGAGCGCATGTGCACATGCGCATGAAAGAGAGAATTGGAGAGACCAGAGGAATGAACTAAAGAAAAACATAAACTTGGAAAATACAGGAAAAAAAAAAAAAAAAAGAAAACTCTCCCATTAAAGAAGTGTTTTTTCCTGTTTGTGTCACCCCCACCCCCATTTTAAGGGTTTCTTTAAACCACTTCATCTTGGGAAGATCAAATGGCTTTAACTCCTTGCCACAGGTCTGGTGATCCTCACAGCACTGGGAGCAGTGCAGCCTTCCCCTGGCCATGACCTGTCTCACAGGCGGGAGCTGGTGATGGGGAGAAAAGCCTGGACTGTGGGGCAGGACAGGTGATATCTCCTTATTCCCAGCTGTGACTTAGAAAAGTCAATGTCACCAAAAGTATCTTGGCAGTCCCAGGAAGAAAGGGGTGGCAGTTTGGTTTCTGAATCCAAGGTATGCTTCCCTTTTGCCTACCTCTCCTTTACTTCTTTCACAAAGCCCTCCTCCTGCTTTCCTCCCTAGTGGCCACCTTGGCTGGTCCCTTGTTTCCATCTGTGTCCTCCAGCCCAGCTCAGCCAGCTCCTCCATTAAGCAGCAGCTGATGGAGGCATCCCCAAAGGAGTCAGGACCCATCCGTGAAGCTTATAGGGGTCTAGAGCTGATGTTAGCTGAAGGGATTGGGTAGGCAAAGAGGTGACTGCAGCACAAGGGAATCTATGATAGGGTGATATCACCAAGGGAACCAACAGAAGAGGAATGACCTAGAAGAAGGTTCCCATCCCTAACCTAATTATTTCTATAACCATCAAGTGGTAATTTTGACAACCCCAAAGTCCAGCTAAAGTGGCATGGGGTACAGAAGCGGGTGTTTTATTTTAGCAAAGAAAAGCTTACAAAATTTCCCATGTTCTCCAGATAGTTTATCCTACTACCCTTGTCCCTAAGACCTCTCCTCTTACAAGCTATTTTCCTTCCATTCTCTCTCCACCATTAGGATTCTTCTGCCACCATTATCCATTTCATATTCACACACAAACTCATCCACCCCTGGGACATGGGTTTTCCAATCTGTCTGTCACACCACTCTCTGTTCAGTGGCTTGTGTGTAGAAAAAATGGGAGGGGAGAGAAAATTCAGCTTGGTCCCTCAAATATTCTGTGAGTCTCATTCCTGTCCCATTCACTTCTAGAATTAAAAACTCCAACTCAAGCAAATTGGGGGTGGGGTAGAGTTAGTTATTCCGATGATACCTAAAATGCCAGTTACAAATGTAGGCAACAGAAGAGAAGATGACCCACTGCAGTCCAGTGCTTGCTGCCGCCTTTCTTTCCCTGCCTCTGACATCTCTCTTGCACCCCTCCCTCCTTGTCTTTTTCTCCTGTTGAAATTCTGTGTATAAAACTATTATTTTAGCAGCATGTGTATGAGGAAAGAGGCCTTTTCACTCTGTGCTTTCTGGGAATGTGACTTGCGTATAAAAGTTGAAAACAAAAAAAAATTAGAACAAAAATGAGGAAAAAAAGGAAACGTTTTAAAGAAAACCTTGACAAACACCTGGCCCAGGATGATTAGAGGTGTCACGTCGTGCATCTTAGGATTTACAACCAGGGAAGGTTGGCTTTAGTCTGAACTGCGAATATTTTCACTAAGAGTTAATGTACCCAGAAATCCCTTCTCCTCTTGCCTGCCAACATACTCTCTTTCGCTCAAACACCCTGGCCTGGAGACACCACGTACATTCACAATGGTAAAAGGAACTGATTCTAAGCAACTATACTTACCTGGAGCCCTGGAATTTTGGGGGCAAAAGAGCCTGGCTGACTCTGCTGACTTAGGTCAATCAATATGCTGCTTGAGGGTCCATCATTCCATGTTCCCAGTGGCTGGAAGCATTCCTCCCTAGCCCCGTCCTCAGACTAGAAGTCCTTAGTTGTAGCATTCCAGTTCCAGAGAGTGACACACAGTGGCCGTTCTGGCGGACAGAAGGCTGAGTCAGCACAACCCTATGCAGAATGTTAGAGGTGAATGCCAAGTCACCAGGATTGAATCATGTTGCTTCTCCTGTGGAATAACAGACTCAACTCAAGCACATAGCACAGCAACACCTATTTTACAGTACCCTCCGACCCCCAACTCTAAAGTGACACTAAATTGATGGAAGACTGATAAGATTGGTCTTCTATGGCTTGGGACAAAGTCCTAGGGTTTCTAACATACACAGGTCCCTAAAGAAGCACCCAAATTGAGGCCTACACGACTTACGGCCAGGGTCGGTACTGGGAAGCAGGAGGTAGAAGTGATCTTGGCTGTCTGCTCTAAACCAAAGTCTGTGTGAGGATGGCTTAAAGTACCCAATCCTCAGCTAGGAACAAAAATAATATCTGCTGGAAGAGTATGAGAAAATCTGAAGTATAAGTGGCCAAATCAGAGTTTGCAATAGGACCACAAAGAGAAATCTTTTCCTACCCTGCCCCTCTAGCCCTGAAGTATACTTACAGAAGCATGCATGTGAACCAAGAAAGCCAGTTATTACAACGCACAATAGCACCCACCTGCTTAATTCCTTCTATTTGTTCCTTAAGCACTTTCAGGGCTTATAGACCACATCACTGATTCCCCAAATCTCTACCACCCTCATCCATTTTAAGACACATTTGTTCATCTAGTCATTTATCCCTGTAAAGATAGTCACATCTGAAATATAGAACTCTGTGTACAACTGCACCAACAAAATAAGCAAGCATACCTGGGAAAGAGCAGAAGACCCCAGCAGTAGAAAGGGCTACAGGGACACACACAAATGCCAGCAGGATGAGCCCACGTGGTCATAGGTATAGGTACAAAGGGACATACCCCCAGACACATGACCTACACTCCTATAAGTAGAAACACTAATACATGCAATTTTTCCTCACACAGAAGTACGTAGAGAAAGCTTATAAACAGAGAAAAGAGGAAAATGTAACCAGTATTAAGAAGAATGACCAAATGTTGAATATTAACCCATGAGGAAAGGACCTTAAATTCCTCTGGATACCAGGGAGGGGAAAGGTAGAAGGTGAATGAGAAGAAAACTTTTGGGGAGATTCCTATGGTAAACAGGGCTAGGACTTTGTGTTACAGGAAGGCCAGGTATTGGGGAGAATTTCCCTCAGAAAAACTAGTCAGAAACTTGTAAGCCATGAGGGTGTCATTTCTAGAGGATTGAGTTGGGAAGAAATGCCCCAAAACCAAGGAAGCTCTGGCTACAAGAAAGGCGGAAGACCCAGCCTCAGGGTCTACAGTATTATAGCATGGATATATTATGAAAAGATCAGATGAAAAAAAATTCAAGAGGAGACATTTACAGAAGACCTAGACCATGGCACATCAGTTGGGGGAGAAATGGGAAATAGCCATGAGGGAAAGCCCCTCCTGAGAGACTGCACTTTACGGGGAGAACATAAAATTGGGTGACTCAATTGTGTGACCACCCACTGATATAGAGGACCCAAATAGCCCTTCACACAGAGCAAAGATAAGGGTTAAATGTCATTATTCCCTGCCAGTAGTCTGGGCCTGCTATTTCTTGCAGTTCCCCAGCCATGGAGAGATGTTTGGCTAGAAGCTAGCGGAGAAGCAGGTTGAGTGGTTATAGGTGGACCACAAGGAAGCTGAACCTGTCCAAGGAGAAGGGGAAAGGTGATGCAGCTCCGGGGTTGACTCATAACCCTGCCCAACAGTGTACACATTCTCATACAAATAATGGCTAAAACCCAGGTACTAGTGATCAGCAGGGGCTCAGCACTGCCCATATCCACTGTCCCTTCCTGGTACCAAACCCTGCACCATGTCTTCTTAACTAGACTTGAAAATGACCTACATTGCGCTCATTTCTGGACATCCCCACCAAGTGCTCAAGTGACAGCACCATCTGCAATTCGCTGAGTATTGGCAGCAGGCTGGGCCCTGTACTCTGCTGACCCCTGCTTCCGTTGCCCAGGACCCAGGCCTGCCTCCAGGAAGAAGTGTGACTAAGACCCATCCTGTACCTGGCTACAAAATCCATACAAATCTGTCGGGACCACAGAGAATAATCTCTTGGCAATGTTCCTAACCTACTATTTCTCAATAGTGAGGTTTCAGAATCTAGGGGTGAAGGGAAGAGTAACTTTTAAAAGTGTTCCCAAAGGGATTCTTCTGTGGTAACCACTGTGATGAGGATCATTGTTCTACCAAATTACATTTGCCTGATTTGACCTCACAATCTCCTTTTCCTCCTATTGTCCTCACCCAAAACACACATATGCACATCCTACAACACATGTCCCCTGCGTGACAGCACAAAGACATGAGTGTGGCTGAAGAAGAGAGATACAAAAAGGCAAGGGAAATCCAGACTAGATCACCGCCCTACATACAGGGTGACTACCATCTCTCAGAACAGTATCTCTCAAAGTTTTGTCTACCTGCAACAGGAGTGCTTATTTAAAATGCACATTCCCGGACCACGTCAAACCAACTGAATCAGAAACTCCTGAAGTGATTCCGTGCTCTCTGGAGTTTGAGAATCACTGGCCTAGAGAGCTCAGCCCATATCCATCTGTGACCTGCCCTCAATTCTCCAGCACCCAAGGACCAACCCTGCTGCACCAGGAGCTACCACACGGTGGCCCGTCATCGCCTCAGATTTGTCTTCTTCCTTATGCTGACATCATCCCCACTCCCGACATCCAACATACTGGAAATCTGTCGGTGTCTTCTGCCTATGCTGCTGTTCTTGAACAGGAGAAGAGATATAAACATTGTCCACTCACCTCCTTGGCTGAGTGCCTCCTTGCTCTCTCCTCCACTGTGGAAATCACTTTGCTTCTTCTGAAGCTGCCATCGACTTCCAGAGATGCTGAAATCAGAGCTCTCCAGCCCCGAGCAGCTCAGCCCAGCATGGGCTTTACTTCTCTCTCCCATCTCCCAGAGCCACCCAGTTTCCCCCTCGACATTACCCAGAGCCAAATATTCCACCTGAAGATCTTGTTGGTCACTGACCTACAGCCTCTGGCTACCCAGGATACAGGGAAAAACAAACCTACTAGAAGTCCTTTCAAATGGGGCCCAAGGTCCAGTTCTGTGGGAGCTGGACTATGTCACCA